GAGTGTCCCAACATGTCTTTCTTGTCTTTTCTCTCTTCATACTCACCCTTGGTCCTTCTGCTCTAATCCTCTAATCTATCTCCTTGAAATTCCATGGATATGACTTTGAACTTCATGCTGCTGTGCCTTAGCATCTGCTGTTTTCTTCCTGTGGCATATAGTTCTTGCTCTGCAATGATCATCTGGAATGCTCTAGAATGCTTACTTGACTGGTAACCACCTAAGCACCAGACCCATTTGGAATTCCTCTATGAAGCTTCTTCTGACCCATCTGGACAGACAATGGGACCCTCTCCATGGATGATACTCCCTCCAAGTGCTGACTTTAGTGGGTCGTGATAATCGTTGACTAGTCTAGAAGAGTTCACGGGTGGCTCTTCAATGCCCACAGCAGAGCATAGTAGACCCATAATAACTATTTGAAGACTAGATAGATGAACTATTTCCCTGCTAACCTGTGAGATCCCCAAGGACATGACCAACAGGTATCGCTTCCATTTGTTGCTAACTCCCAACTATAACACTGCCCACTTGGATGGAGTTCCGAAACAAGATGTCAAATCATCCTGCAGAGTGGGTTCTGTTCAGAACGGTCCCATTGACCAAATTTCTCAAGGTCCTGCCCTGCTCAATCCTTGGTTTGGAGACAAGCCCTCCTGGAAGGGTGCCCACCTGTGGGGGACCGAGCCCTGCTCTACTGGCAATGCCCCAGATACATTCCCAAGCTGGTCCCAAAGTCTGATCATTTTTCCAGAGGCATACTGCAAATACAATGTGGAGGCCGTGTCTGACCTCCTCTCCAACAAGGAAGATGAAGAATCAAACTCCACATTCCTCTGAGGCAGAAGTCAGTCAGGCCTCCAACCTTCTTTACCCAATTCTGACACCAATCACCCCTCCCATTCCACTCTACTTCTCTTCTAGGTTCAATAATGTGTTGCGGTGGCCACACAGAACTCACAGATGATCCAGTGCTGGGGTTTATTAGGAAAATGAACAGGATTAGAAATGACTCAGTGGACTGAAAAGACATTTATCCAAATGTCCCAAGTAGGGTAGAAGTCAAGGATGAGAGAAAGGCATGTCTGTGGTATGGCTGAGAAGAAGCTGTCGACCAGAGGACTTCTTATCATTTCTGATCTTGGTGTTGAGAGTCTCTGTTTCTGCTTCTGAGATAGTGCATTTATAATTCAGCCGAATGGTAAAATCAACCAATCATGATATTAGAGTCCCATAGATTCTATTTGCATGGCTCTCTCTGGTAGCGTAGTGGTTACGAATCAGGCTGCAAACCACAAGGTCAGCAGTTCAAACTACCAGCTGCTCCATGGGAGAAAGATGAGGCTTTCTGCTCCCATAAAGATTTACAGCCTCGGAAATCCCATGGCTCTACATTTTGAGTTATGGTGTTGGAGGAGAATATTGAAAGTGCCACGAGCTGCCAAAAGAACCAACAGATCTGTGTTGGAAGAAGTGCAGCCAGAGTGCTCCTTGGAGGCCAAGATGGCCAAACTTCGTTTTTCATACTTCAGACTTATTGTGAGGAGGGACCAGTCGCTGGAGAAGGGTATCATGTTTGGAGAGGTGGAGGGTCAGAGAAAAAGAGGAAGACCCCCCAACGAGATGGATTGGCCAAGTGGCAGCATTGATGGACTCAAGCATGGCAACAGTAGTGAGGTTGGCCCAGGATCGGGCAGTGTTTCATTCTGCTGTGCATAAGGTCACACTATGAGTCGGCACCAACTTGATGGCACCTAACAACAACAAACATGCATTGGAGTCCTGGTGTGTCACTGTAGGATAGATAAGCACTGAACTGCTAACCGTAAGGTTGGCAGTTGAAACCTACTAGCCACTCTTCAGAAACCCTACACAGGGTTGCAATAAGTTGGAACCGACTCAACAGCACTTAACAACAACCACCGCGCAGTCATTTGGTGAGGGTTACAAAAACTATAGTTACCAACAGCCCATCTTTCCACCCTGGGCAGCTGTCGAGAACCGGCCTCAACAGGGGAGTTTGGTTCATGAAGTTGGGAGATCTGGCGGCGACAGTGACAGATAAAGAACACACACAAAGACACAACAAGAGAGACACATAGACACCCCGGAACTAGAGTGGATGCGTAACTGGCGTCAGACAGATCCTGCATTGTAAACATTTTGGCTATGCATGCCATTTGCACACTTTGCCAACTGCAATGCCTGCCCGAACTGCAAGCCGCTATGCATGTGGGCTTCGGTCTGTGCCCCAGTTTTATTTCAGGGAGGAGCTTTACACAAAGGGAGGCGGGGTTTATTAAGACGGGGTACAGAAGTGAAATGTGATTAATCGTTCAACACAGGACACAATGATTTACAGGTACAAATTCTAAAACATATATCACAAATTGTCTTGATAATCTAACATCCTTAATTTTCCAGAAATTCAAGCAAATTATTATATGGTACTTTTCAGGTTCGAATCCCAGGGCAGCAACTCAGTTTCTCCAGGCTAATTAACATACCTATAGCACCTAATCTCGAATGGGAAAAAGGTGAAAAGGATTGAAAGGAGTCCCGCTGTGTCAGCTGTCTGGCCCAGACTTGCAGGAGGAAGCAAGATGCCTAGCTACAGGGTTTGCACCTGAGGGCGACCCGGGATGACTGACGCTATTGTTCTTTAGATAAAGCCCAGGAATACGCCAATCCACTTTTGGTTAATTCCTTGGGGGAAACTTGGCTTTTGGAACTTCCCAGCAAACTTGTTTTTGGAGCTTTGTGTCTCGGCTTTAGGAGCAGTTTAATATTTGTCCATGGGTATCAAGGGCTTATGTATTAAGTTAATATCAAACATAACTGAATAATTTGATAAAGAACAGTTTGGATGAGCTTGCCCAGTGGCCAGAGTTTGTTCCTCAGAGAGATTTGTTCCCAGAACACCTTAAGCACTGCCAATACAGTGGAGACATTGAGAGAGGCACATTAGGAAACCATTTTCTCAGAAGCTACAATTACAGGGGTTCGAAGCATAGCATGAATTAATAGGACTAAAGAGAATTATACAGCGCTAGCCCCACAGTGAGTTCGTAAAGCCAATGAACCCGGGACGTCCGGAGGTTACTTCCTTGAGCCCACAGGGTCTCTGGCCAGCAAGTCGGAGCATGGCCACATGCTGGATTTTCGTCCATGACACCGGTCCTCAACACCCCAATACCAGTGGGGTGTTTGTGTCTTTAACAAAAAGCAAGTGTAATTAAAAAAAAAAGTAATCTGGCACCAAAAACTTCCTTCATTTATTTTTCAGGGGTCTTTGCTCATTAATCTTCCCCTCCTAAGCTGCTTTGAAGGATCCTAGTGGCATAGTTGGTTAAGCTCTTGGCTGCTAAGCAAAGGGTCAGTGGTTCAAACCTACCAGTTGCTCTGCAAGAGAAAGATGTGGCTATCTGTTTCCATAAAGATTTACAGACTTGGAAACTCAATGGTGAAGTTCTACTCTGTCCGACTGGATCGATATGAGTTGGTGACAGTGGTTTGGTCTTTTGATAACCTACTTTGTGCTCTGTTAGAACAGGATTTAGTTTTCTAGTTGTTGTTGTTGTGACGTGCCATCGAGTCGATTCTGACCCACAGCAACTCTATATACGGTTTCTGAGGAGCAGCTGGTGAGCCTGAACCACCGACCTTGCAGTTCAAACGGCTTTGCAGTCTGGCGCATTAACCCACAGTGCCACACTAGTTTTCTAGTAGCATCTGTTATATGCAGGATGTCCTCAAACATTAATGATAATGAGTTGGTAGTGGCACAGTTGGAAGCCTTCGGAAGCCAACACCAAATGTCAGACCCTGGGAGGGTCCCTCTGTGGACATAGAGCAAGGGCTGGGAGCAGATCCCACAGCTGTGGGTTCCTTTTGGGAACCACTCATTCAGCAGACATTGTGTGGGTGCTGGGAAGACAGGGCTCTGGCCACATGATACTAGCATGGCTGTTACCAAAAAGATGAAAACTGGTAGCTGAGGTAAAGTACCCACCCAGGAGGCTGGCCGTCCCCTGGGAGACCTGGGAGGCAGGATAGCAAGGGATTTGGACTCTGGTAGTCCTGGGTGCCAGGATTAAGGCTAAAAAAAAAACCCAAATGACCCTTCCCAGCCTTAGTGGTTTGAGGACAAACTGAGAAGCTGCAATAAATTTCTCCATCCCAGCTTTAGCATAGAGCAGCTGCTCGGGATCTATTAGATTCCCTGGGGCTGGGGGTTGATCTGTGATCTCCTCTGAGCTGAGTGCTCGCATCCTGGGGCTGCCACAGCTACCACCTTCACCTAGGAAATGGCACAGAGTCATCCTAGCAATTCGTAGGGCCTTGTTCTAATGGACGAGAGCCCCAGCCCAAACCGAAGCTTCTTGACAGGTATGAAAATACTTTCCTGAAGACCACCCGCTTCCACTCCCAAAGCCTCCTTGAAGCAGGATAGAGGAGGGAGGCCACTCATGGTGGGGGCAGCCAGCAGCAGCAGAATCTTCATTTCAGGGATGCAGAAGTTTGGGTGCTGAACCACCTGTGTGCCTTCAACTACAAAGTTCCTGTCACTGATGAATCTGCAGAGTGGCCTTTCAGTTGGCCCATGACTTTCATTCATTTTAATGGCTTTTTTTTTCCTGAATGATTGAAGAAATTTTAGAAAACAGGTGGATACGAGTGGAGGGTGGAGGTGCCAGAGGGCAGTACTGGAAGGCAGGCAGAGCCGGCCTCTGGCCTCCCTTACCCCTACCAGGAGCCACCCCTCGTTCCGGAAATCAAGCTTCAGATGTGCAGGGTCCTCCCCCACCCTCTAGTCTAGCCCCATATTACTCCCACCCCCAGCTTGGATTTGCTGTCTGAACATTGCTGCTTTAAGTTTGGGTACTTGATACAGGAAAAACGAACAGAGATGGCAGGAAGACATGGGGGTCTGCGGGAGGTGGGCGGAACAGCAGGGTCCTGACATTCCTTTATGGAAACTCCCTGCGCATGGGGTGCAGCGCCAGGGCCTGAGAACCACCAAGACCAAGACAGTGGCCAGCCCTGCCCTGGGCCTCCGGAAGAACCTCTGGGCAGCAGAGGGGAGCTGCAACCTAATCCCGACCTTCCTTCAGCACCTAGTGAGCATCCACTGTGTGCCAGGAAGTTGGACCAAGTGCTAGGGGTGTCCAGGTGTCCAGACAGACGCAAGTCCCTGTCCTGGCACGCTTCGGCCCGGGTCTCGGCCCACACGAGGATCCCGTGCTGCCCCGCCCGCCCAGGCCCGGCCCGCGAGGACCTCGGACCCGCCCCCAGC